ACTAAGTCCTAAAGAATAGCCAAAAATCAAACTGGTTCCTAGATAATAGGTGACAGTAAAACAGCAATGGGATAAGGATTATCAAACCAACAATTTTCTGGATTTGTCATTGATACATGAACAGCTGTCAATCCAACGTTCAAATTCACGTAAAAGGAACAGAACCAAAATGCCCAATTGGGTGAATTAATTTGTCCATTCATGTTTATCATAATTGCAAATAATTTCCAATATTTCCTAGAAAGGCCCGCCGATGCCCATCACTCTGAACAATCATGGAGGCACACCGTCTCCCTGCAAAGGAAGTCATCAATAATATTATTAATACCAGCGTCAGGATCTTCTAATTCCGACTCAGGCATCTGGTTTTCTAGGACGTTTGGGAGAAGAGGTGGAGCTTCAGCCATCCAGCCGATTCCCTAACCCACAAAGACCTGTACTACTTGTTCAAAAAAAAAAAAAATGCAAATAATTTCCATATATGTATGGCTGTGATTACACTATCAATCCACCACTTACAATCTTGGCCTTGTAAAAGTAATAAAAATAAAAATAAAAATAATAAAATAAAATAAAAACCCACCGAAAAGGGGAAAAAAACACGGCTTTACTGGTGTTAGGTTACGGCTTTACATTATGAAAATAATTTTAAGATAATTTTTTTATTATTTTTAGTATAATTTTATGTATTATTTAAATAATTAATTATTTTTATTTATTTAATATTTTATAATATTAAATATATTAATTTATTTAATAATATATAAAAATTATATAAAATAATAATAAAATTATTCTTATAATATTACTTTTATATTATTTTATTAATAATAATTTAATAATTTTAATAGTCAAATTACACTTATCCGACGGAAAAACATGGAGTTCAGTTAAGTCGATCACCAAAGCGTACGGTGAACTAATTTCAATTAATTCATCATTAAGTGTACCGTAAACTTACAATTTCCACCGCAAATTTCGTACTGATGTTATTGTTTACATTTTAATTATAATATTATACTTTTTTATTTTAATTAATTATTTTATTTTTTTAATTTATTAAAAATAAAAAAATATAAAATTTTAAAATAAGATATAATATAAAAAAATAAATAATTACATTAAAAATATAATAAATTTTTAAATTTAGATATCAACATTTAATAGGATAACATTTTATTTTTTAAATATAAATTAAAATTTTAATTTATTTTAAAAATTAAAATTAATATATATTTTTATATAATAATATATTAAATAATTACATTAAAAATATAATATTAATTACTTAGGTGTGAAAACTACCACAGCCGAAGTAATAACAGCCCGTCGGCCCACACTATCCCCTCGTGGGTCGTGGGCCTATAAAAATGGCATATGCACTCTATACAAGGAAATTTACTTAACCAACCTATTCCTCTGTGATGCTCTGTTTTCCTCAGGACAAGAGCATGGCCTCATACGGTTTCCCTATTTTCCATTTCCTCCTCTCCACCGTCCTTTTTTCAAGCATTGTTGATGCCGCCGGTTTGATTGGAGTGAACTACGGCCGCGTGGCCAACGATTTACCCACTCCCGATAAGGTGGTGGAGCTTCTAAAAACACAGGGGATAGACAGAGTTAAGCTCTACGACACCGACGCGGAGGTGCTCACAGCCCTGGCCGACTCAAATATAAGCGTCGTGGTTGCCCTTCCCAACGAGCTACTCTCCTCTACAGCCGCCGATCAGTCCTTCGCCGATAACTGGGTCCAAGCCAAC